GGCTGTGTCCCTAATTTTCAGGCTGCATCCTTGAGTTGCACTATCATGATCTGTTGAAAGGACATCAAAAGGACAAATACGTGTCCAAAGTATCTTAAGTTATAATTCCTTTGTTGGCTTGCTCTGGAAGGCTATTTGCTGCGCTAGCTTTATTAATTCCTCCATTCTTTCACTCACTTAATATCCCACCTTTCTGTTATGCAACGGTGTTCAAGGTAGCAAACAATGAAATATAGACTGAAAACAACATCTTAATTAAAACATCACATAAAAACAAATACATTGAAAATGCAACAATAAAAAATAAACAGCATCCAACCATTTAAGTATCCTTTCAGCAACAGAACACAGGCTATACATCCATGGCATGGCTGAATAAATATGTATCAGAAAGACAACAGAAAGGGGAACAAGCTAACCTGCCTTGGTAGAAGCTTCTAGAACTGAGGAGTTTAGAATCTGCTCTCACTTAATTTTTGGTTATAAATACATTAAAAGTCCAATTGCCATATTCCCACTTACTCATTAAATATGATTTTGACAGATGTGGTTGCCAGTAATAGAGGATAACGTTCTGTTATTTACCTTGTATAGAGTTTTTTGACCATCTGAACTTTTATAGGAGAGACATGCGCTAGATCTCTAGCTTAGCTATGGACTCCTGTGGGGCCTTGAACAAGAAACTAATTCTCAAACCAGATCCCATCATAACAAAGATCTGTGCTTGGAAGACTAATCATCTTGTCATTTTTAAAAAGGGAGCAACTATTTATTTACTATCAAGAACAGCAATTGCAACAACATTGGTTATAGAATAGAGCTAATTTTCCAGTGGCAGTTTTCAAACCATGCATGTTGGATCAATTAACTTGATATTTCTCATCACAGTAAGTGGTAAAGAGCAAGTCTGCATCCTACTTTAGCAACAACCTTAGAATGTAGCCTTAGTCAGGCCACTGTTTTCTCAGTTGGTTTTCCCCAGAAGCAACTTGAGATCAGCCTTCTTATCAATAAATTGTGTACCAATGTTATGGCTTCCATTATGAGAAGACCACCATATAGCAGAATTGGAACAAGGAGTAACCACACAAGCAGAAATGAACTCTTCTTTCTGTATTCCTAATGAAGTAGGGTTAACTACTTTTGCTCCAGGGCTGTTGTAAGAACTGTTGAAATACTTTGATAATAGTAAGAGTAACATATAGGGTTTCGCAATTCTCCCTGTTGTGCTAAAACCTTCCTTAGAATGCAGTTTTGCTTAACTGGCACTCTAATATGAATGAACAATGCCATACTTTGACTCTGCTACTTCACAGCACAGCCACAGTTATAGACTTGGTTCACACCCAAGGTGACACAACAGCCCACCCTGCCTTAACTCTCCTGTGAGGTCTCTTGCATCATGCTGAGCGCCCACAGGTGATATTACACAGCACCAGTGGGTGTCAGGCTTGATCTGTCATGCGAACCCAGGCAATAAGGTAAATTAACCCATGGAGGGCTGTCATGTTGTGTGGACCAGGCCATGATCTTGCACTGGCTGATGACAGATGCACCTGGTTCTATATGATTCTAGCACAAGGGACCATAGGATCAGTCATTCATTCGGAATAAATCAAAACTAGCAACAATTTGTGATCCATGTATGGAAATATCACAGTAAGTCATTGCTTGTTTTTAAAGGAAATTCATAATTAGGTGACCTGGGAGTACAGAATGCTTTTAAAAACTACTTAAAATTATCTTTACTTTTTAAAATTAGAAGTACATGCAATTTTCCACAGAGGCAATGTTAGTATGTGTATTCTTGTACAAGGAACTGGCTGAAAAGATAATAGTGGTGAGCAAGTATAGCATCTTGAAAGAGTAACAGCACACTTGGACAATATTTTTACACAGCCCTTCCACATCCTCCTTATTACATCAATTACCAAAACCTGGTGTTTGTTTAATGAGATCATTTCAGGGCCTCAGAAGGGAATATTTCAATCTGCTAATGCCTGAATAAGGCACAGAAAATGGTTAGTCACTAATGCAGTGAGTGATTTGTAAGCATACATGTGTGTGTGTGTCATCCTACATCCCAGTGGTTGCTTAGAGCCTATTGTGTTTTACCTGTATGATCTGGGCCTCTCTGCTGAGGGCTTTCGCATGACGAAAGATATCAGGATGCAAGACAAGCACTGAACAAAAATTCTTAATTTACTAATTCATATTCATCAAATTATAAAGGAAAAAACACCCTGCATTTTTATGAGCATATTTACATAAATCATTTGCTGGAGCATCCTAACACTAAATGGTCGAAGTCGAGCCCCTAACCATTTGCATACATGCGTCTTCCCCCGACATGAAAATATTGGCGTTTCAGATTTTCATTGAAAAGCCTGGCTGCGCTGGAACTCTAATGGGCTTAGAACAGTAAATTTTGAAGAAACTGATTGCTACCCCTGTAGCTAGTAAATGTCTGCCTAGACCCAGTGGCATTTGAAAAAAGTGT